GGGGGGGAAGGGGGGTTATCCCCATCACCCCCCACTCCGCCCGTGGCCTCCAACGCAGCCCGAAAGCTCAGCCTCGCCACAGGGCTTCTCCGCTGCAGAGCTCCGCTTAAGCGCAGTTAAAGGACATATATTCATGTTTTTATCTCTGTATATGTGTATGTATGCATGTGCATATATATGTGTGTGTGTATATATATATGTATATGTGTTATTTAAAGTAGCTCCTAGCACAGAGTGTTATTGTAGAAACGTGGTCGCTCCTTCCGTTCCTGGAGCAACTTCCATCCCTCGACCTGTTTGACAAACGTTCATTAATTCCTCTCCCAACAGGTAAGCGGAGTAGGAACGCGTTTGACAGACGGGTTAATGGGAGCAAAGCGCGGCTGAGCGCCTTCCGCCGAGGCCCCGAATCCCGGCCGGCAGGGCGTTTGCTCCTTATGCCGGGCGGGTGGTCGCGCCAAATTATGGAAGAAGTTATTGGGATTTCAGTTTTGCCCCCGTCCGGCGGACGTGTCAGACCTTCAGCGGCGGTGCCGGTGGCGCGTCCCTGGCCGGGGATTCGTGCCCGGAAAGGGCCGCGCGGCTGCCGGCCGGGCTCTCAAGCAGCCATCCCATTGCTGGACTAGTCTGAAGTTGTTATTCCACCCAGGGACGCAAACCGTTCCAGAAATTTTAAAGAAGGCTCCTTATTTTTCTTTTATGTGGATTGTGTCATTATGTACTGCACAGTAATTGAAAGGACCTTCTCAAAACAAAATCGAATCAATTAAAAAAAAAAAAAAAAGCTTAAGCAGTTTCAGACCCTATTCCTGTGCTTCCAAGGCAGGCCAATTTTTGTGAGTTTGCAACCACATTTTCCTTTTTTTTTCTTTTTTTGGCAAATATTTTCATTCCAGGGTTGCTGTGTGAAGGAGCCCCTGCCCAAAGCTGCCAATAGTAAAACGGAGCAGAAGGGCAACTGCTGTCAGATGCAGAGCATCAACAAGAGATAGTGTTTTCTCCTGCCCTTTTTGGCATAATTAGTTAGGGCACTTTTTGTAATAATAATACTCTTAAGGTAGGCAGATAAATGTCATTCTTAGTTCTTTTCCTGCTGGTGGTGTCTCTTTAATGCGATTAAGGACCACTAATGAGCTGATTCACCAGCATCTTGTTTTCTGCTTCTAGCACTTTGGGGCTTCATTTATGCTCCCAGCTTGGCTATCTTGTTTTTGGAAGACATTTTCTTCCCTCTTCCCTTCCCTCTTCCCTTCCCTCTTCCCTTCCCTCTTCCCTTCCCTCTTCCCTTCCCTCTTCCCTTCCCTCTTCCCTTCCCTCTTCCCTTCCCTTCCTTTTCTTCTTCTTTTCTTTTTTCTTTATTCCAGAAGATAGTGGAACATGCCACTTCTACGTGCCATTGCAGGATAAATTTTATTTTAAGGAGACTTAATACAAGCAGGGAACTGATTCTCCTTTGCACTTGAGCCTTGTTTCATGCCTCTGGTAACATGAAGGAGCATGAAAGTGAGAGTAAATGTAAACCGGATTTGCAGTGGCACACTTTATGGCCCTTTTACACCCTCCGAGTCTTATAAAGAGGCTTCACATTTAATAAGCATGTGGTGCTTGATATTCTTGTTCACTGGCTTTACGTGTTCATTTCCTAATAACGTGATTTAAAAAGCTACGTAGGAGGTGCCAGAGAAGCCCATGATAACTCCTAACTTTTAAGGAGGAAATGATGAACATGACAAGCTTAAAAGAGAGGAGGAGAAAGACATGGAAAGGCTGTCAAAAAACGATCTGGGAGAGAATAATTTGAATCCTGCATTAAATCAGGGATTCTAGATCACAAAAATCATATAATTTTAACTTCATGAAAAGGTACCTTTGGACCACGTTTTTTAAAACACGTTAGGGATGCGAAAGATGCATCTGGGTGCCTACTGGCTTTTTCAGTACCGCCTGGACACCTAAACCTTGCTGAATCAGCATTTTATATAGCTAGATTACGTATAATTTAGCTTCTGAGGCTTATGTTGCTCTCAAAACAAATTAGCTGAACTTGCCGTATAGCTATAAACAGTGTGGGTGGGGGCTGAGATGCTGTGCCTTACCGTCTGCATTTTTTTGCCACCTTGCTGTTGCTGATAAGGCAAATACAAACGTTGTGCCACCTTGTTGCAAGATTTCCTGTAATATATTGTAGAAAAGAGGCAGTGAACCTGAGTATTTTCCTTAGCAGAACGATCTCCACGAAGAAAAAGTTCTGCTAGCGTGCTCAACAGGTGGGCTGGGTGGAAAAGGGTGATGTAGGAGGTGACTGTGTCATCTAGCAGCGCTGAATCATGTGAGGACGGGAGGGAGAACAAACCCCCTTCAGGTGCAACCCTATGAATTGCCTCAGCTATGTACTATGTATAGATGCTGAACTAAATAATTCAGCCATGATCCTAGGTCAGCTGAGGTGGAAATTAGTGGCTGTGCGCTTTTTGTAGTAACACAAAGCAACCGTGAGCAAAACTGGGCAAGCTTGAAAAACACATACTCAGATGATGAGGTTTATTTTTCTTGAATTGCACAGCCACGACTGAGCCCTGTTGTCCACCAGATCGCCAGCAGCCCGCTTCTCCCACTGCAGAGAGATACTAAGGCTCCACGGTTTTTCCAGGAAAAGCATCTCTGTACGTGCAGTTTCACTGACTGCTCTAACTTCCTAAGCGGGAGCTGAATCCTCAAATTACGTTTGTTGTTGTATTTTGAGAGGCCAAAATTCCTTTTGCAGGTTCCTCTGGAGATACGTGAGTCAGAGTGGTGCGATTCAGCTCCCGCACTGGCTCGATGCAGCACTGAACTCTGTAACGCAGCAGTAGATGAAGCTGCGTTACGGAGGATATAATGCTGGTCTTTGTTATGGTTAAGGTGGTTTTTCTTTCAGGAGATGAAATCAAACCATTTCCAAATGAGGTGCCTGCCCTAGCAGCATGCGAGACCTTTCATAGCAAGTTGTTGCTATAACCAAAGTTTTAAATCTTCTGCAGATGTGGAAATTGTTGGAAGCCTTACTTGCGTATTGCCTTACGATGCTATGCGAAAAAGTCTCTTCAAAGACTAAAAGATCAAGTAATTTGTTTGGGTTTTCTTCTCGTGTGCTAGATGGGCTTGTTTTGAGCTACTGCTGACAAATTCATGCCGGAGTCTAAAATGTGCGGTTTGAAAAGTGACTCTCAAAAAACGCTAGGCTAACAGAAGGTTAAGTTTCCTGGGGAACAAGCTAGCTATAATTTGTACTTTAAAAAAGGGCAATGTCTGATTTTTTTTCATTTAATGTGGAAGCTCCCGTCTGTAGCTCTGGTTGTCAAAAGAAGCCACAATTTAAACAAGAATCAGGATGTTAATGGGCATAACCATTTTATACAGATAAACAGTTGCAAAAAGCTTAGGACAACTCATAAGTTACCAATCCATAAAATCCAGCTCTTAAGTTTGACTCATAAAGATTAGAAGTAATAAAAGGGTTACTGCTAACCTCAAGTATTAAGAAATCATGAGTCAGACCTCCAAAATCTCAAGGCTGTTCTTAAAATGTTGTGATTTTTGAGAAGGTTCATTTGATATTTTAAAGAGGGTTCATTTGAGTTCATTTAATGTACCTTTTACCTTTTTAGTCCATAGAAATCACAAAGGCCTGATTCTTTTTTTTTTTTTTTGGGTAAACAAAAGCTGAAATTTGGTTGTATATTTATAGGACTACAAGGCCCATGGCTGTAAGATGGCACAAAATATCATGAGGCTTGTGGTATGTGTCTGTGAGAGCTGGCAAGAGTGTGAAGAACTTGTTTTTGTTGCTAGAGTGGTAAGAGATGACTCTGGGTATGTGGAAAGAGCAGAACCTATTCAGTAAGAGAAGGTTTTTTCTTAAAACATTTTACTACATGTATGCTTGCAGAATGCAACAGGCAGCAAAGCAAATGTAGGTCAAGTGAGGTTAGTAGGAAGACATTTATACTTTTTATCTTAAAGAGGCAGCTTAGGTGATGTTATGTAGGGTTTTCTTTAGAGAAATGTAAAGGTACGTGCCTGGCAGGTATTCAGCACTGAACAGGAAGGCACTGAAACGTCTGTGATTCTTACTCTTTTCCCGAATGTTAGTTAAGCTTCGGAGAGATCCTCCTCTCTTCTTACTTGGGCATAACCTGCTCTTTACAGCACAGTAGAAAGCTACATGGCGCGTTAGGGAAAAGAATCGCTGTGCAAAAGTACAGGTATAAGAGTCTCATACCAATTTTGCAGTATTGTGCTTCTCTGTTCAGCAGACTCCCTGAGACAGTCCTGGGCGCAGAGTCTTCAAAAAGAAGGTCTTTAAAAATACACACTAGATTATGTGCGGGCTGCACGTGTACGCAAGAAGCCTTGCTGTCTGAGGGCTTCCAGCATCGCTTGCCAGCTCCCTGTTTCCAGCGACCTCATACCAGCAGAATAAGTGTCAATTTTGGGAGAGGCTTTCCTGAGTCAGGCTGGGGAGCCGGCCTCTCTCAAGTGAGAGTGAGTTGAGAGGAATAGCCCAAATGGCTGTAAATGCACCTGCCCAGGAAGAGGAGATTCAGGTCTAGGAGGAACAAGCCTGCAAACAGAGGGAGGGGGCATGTTAAGAAGCATGGGCATGTTGTGGGTGCCCGAATGTCTCTCCTTGGCTCTGCGTCTAACCCGTGGTTATATTCTGCATCGTCTTTTCTTCTGCATCATCAGCAATTATACAGCAATTCCCATTTTCAGGGTCGCATCACCCTCGCGCTAACACCAGCAAGACAGAGATGCTTTAGCTCCTTCTGAGGGCTTTTTTGCAACCCATGAGGCAGAAGCAGAGAAAACCCAACTTGACTTCCAGACCCACGCAGGGCTAGCGTCAAACAAAAACACCTTTACTCATAAAAATGTGTATGCACAAGGCATGCTCGCTCTTCATTACCAGTGCAATCATAAGAAGGCTCCTCTTGTGGAGGACTGATTTCCCGGCTTTCTGATTCATTGTGTTAATAAAATCAAAATCGTTCCTCTGGGCGCTGCTTTAAAAATACTGGACCTTGCTTGCCGTTTGAAATAGCGCACCATGCCTGTCCTCGGCACGGATCTGAACTGCAGGCCCAGCGTACTTTGGCACATGTTTACAGCATGTCACCTTATAAAATCATGTGAAAAGGTCAGCGTGAATTCCTGTTAATGCCTTTCCCTTCTTCTGTTGCTGTTGGCTTTCAGCACGTGTGGAGTGAAAGTGAGGACTGCTTACCTTTTCTGCAGCTTGCACAGGATTACATTTCTTCCTGTGGGAAAAAGACGCTCCATGAAATACTGGAAAAAGTCTTCAAATCCTTCAGACCCGTAAGTGGCCCTTTTTTTTCTTCTAAATATTGACAGTTATCTGTGATTTTTAGTAGGGTACCACTGGATGGAGTAAGATAGTTTTTCATCTCTCGTGACTTTTTCCTCCCATCAGTTGCCTGTGTGCAGTGGTGTTAGCACATAGGCTAACATCAGGCAGCTGCAAATTGTTTCTTGGAAGTCAGCTGCCTTTTTATCTCTAGCTGTGCATTTGACAGAATGACGTTCCTGCATGGGGCAGGAGGCCAGCTGGTGTCCCAGCCAGTGGCACCGGCGCCCCAGCTGTAAGGTGGACTGCGTGCCGCTGGTGCAGCGCTGACTCGGAGGAGCGGCATACTGAGCAGCTATGCAGGACTTTGCGGTCGAGTTATTTCCTGGCACCGGAGTTTGGGAATTTTGCAAGGATCTCTGTAGTGAGAATAATCTGGAAAGCTGGAGAGAAACTCAATTTCTCCCCGGAGTGTTTTATTTTAGGGTTTTTGTGTCCCCTCTTTGCAAATTGAGACCTATAGATTTTACCACTAGGGTGGTTGCTGCTTGATACTTGAAGATGCTGGTTTAATCACTACTTGAGAAGAGAATGGAGTGGAAGCTGGGCTTTGTGGGGAAAGGGGCTTGTATTTTTCTGCTTTGCCGCTGTTCGACCTTTTCTGTTCTTGCTAAATGCTAAGATTGGGGTTAAAGCCTGTGTTTTGTAAGGGTGAGGTGGCTTTGTTAGGCTGACCATAGTCCCTCCTGGACGTTTGATTTGCCAAGTCCTCCTCTCGCCCAGCCTCTCCTTTTGAGTGCCTTGCCCTGGGGTAATTGGGGTGGTAGAACGAAGAGCAGAGGCTCATTGCTAGTGTCGTGCTTCTTCCCCGTGTCTCGCTTGAGGTCCATGGTAAAGCTGACCACTATGTATTTTTAAATTTAACTGAAAATGTAGGCAGTTTTTCCTCTTCTGTTTTTTTGGCTGACTAATCAAGAAGACTGCATATTTATCCTAAGTATTTAGAGCAGAAGGGAGGGCTGGAGTGCAGATAGGAAAACACCGGGCCTCCCTGTGTTCTCTGTTACACCCTTGCGTTGCCGCGGAGGGCCGCAGCTGGTTGGCATAAAAGAACATAATTTTAAAGAATCCTCTGAGAGACTGAAAATAAATAGAGCAGATGCACACTTTTCTTAGAAGGGACTGGAAATCTGATCCATCAGTACAGCTGCTTGTAATTGTGAAAACACATAAAAATATAAATATGTTTCCCTGAGCAATATTCAGCTCTTCGGTCTTCATAATTCTTTTCTGCTACTCAAAAAAGCTGTGTCTTAGAGGAGAAACTTCCACTCGTTTAACTAAAGAGGGCTTCAGAAAGACTTAATTAAATCGGTACAAATCACTTATTTCATTTTAAACCACATTTAGTTCAGCGTAACTTAAGTTGATGAGAAATTGGCTTCAGTCAAACCAAGTTAAGCTTCTCTTCAGAATAAGAAGGTTCAAAGCTAGAAGAACCACTGTGATCCTTCAGTCTGAGGCCTTCCGTAATACATCAGATTTCACCCAGTGATCCCTACGATCAAGCACGCAAATTGTGCTTGAGCTGGAACATCTTTTCAAAAGGCGACCGGTCTTGATTTGAAGACTTAGGTAACTTAAAGGCTACAGCACTGCTGGGCAAGCTTTCTTCCAATTGTTAGTTACGCTCAAGTGAAAAATTATCTTTTATTTCTAATCTGAGTTTGTCTAGTTCTGCTTCCTCATTGTTGAATTTTATTCTGCTTTTGTCTGCTGGAGAACAGTGTCCTCAATTATCAGAGACCTCTTGCAGACTATAATCAAGCACCTCTTCATTTTCTCTTGATATACTACATAGATTAAGTTTCTCTGAGTTTCCTTTAACCTAGTGTCAGGCACATTGGTCTAATGAAACCAGTTTTAGCATTCAATGTATGGCTGCCTGTAGATAAATCTGTTAAGAAATGTATCGACATTTTTCTCTCATTGTAATTGTTAAAAAAACACATGGACAGTAGGGCAGATTTTAAAACGTGAAGCATGTTACAATAGATATAAGGAAACAGTCATTTTACACCCTGTCATGTCTTCGCCAGAAAAAAAAAAACACTTTTAATCAGTATTGGGAGATGATTTACTTGGCATCACTGCCTTCTATCCACTGTCATTTCTGTTTTAGACCTATTTTGTTAATGAAATACTCTTTGTGTGAGTGTGGAGGCAACAGTGCATTGGCAGTACGTTTCTGCTCCACTATCCAAAGTCCTCTCTCAAAGACCAGTCTGGCAAATTTCAGCTTGAAAAAAGACAGTTTAGGAAAATTGTTGTATGATAAAGGTCAGACCAGGGTCTTCTAAAGTGTCTAATGAGTCTGGATACTCGATTTGAGACACGGGGAAGGAGCCAGATTTTTAGAATTTGGTTGGTAAGCACTTTCTAAGAGTCTTTTCCATTATGGTATTTCCAGTCAGACATCCAAAATTACTAGATAATTTTGAAAGCCTTTTTCAGGGTCCTTAGAGCAGAAGGGTCTGGGAGGCACTGGCTGTGGCTTCTGCGGCGTGCCATGCCCGTGTACCTGGCACAAGGACATGCCCTTCCTTAACTGAAGGCTCTCAGACTGGTTTGCACCCAGTAATTCAGCTCGGACTATCTCTGTGCACGCATGAGTAACAACGGCATCTCTGCTCGCTTACTCCAGAGCTGTGGCTTAGCAAGGGAGGTGTCAACTGGCCGTTCACAGTCCCAAGGGAGCTTGCTGCCTGTATTTCTGAGGTGACGAGAGCTCAGGGCGCCCCCTTGCAGAGGGTTTGTGAAGAGCAAAATTGGTGTTGTCCCCAGCCTGACGTGAGGCTGCACCTCACACAGCCGCAGAGCCGCAGAGACATGAAGGTTACACGTGGGTCAGGCACCAGGACAGGCATCCTGGGCTGAGGCTTAGGGCCATGTCCACCCGTGGGTCCGTGGTTGGCATGCACAAGCCAGTTCGGGAGCAGCAGCCTTCCCTCTGGTTTGGAAGAGGAGAGCCCAGTCCTCGGAGCTGGGGAATGGCTCCACTTGGAGCAAGCGTGATCATGTCTCCCATGCTTTTGTGAAGTGCCCAAAAAGCGTTACAGAAAAGCACATTTCTGAAAGTTCGCCTAATATCTTCAGGAAGGTTTTCTACATTGCCTGCTGTACAAGAAAATACCTCTCTGTAGATATCTTCTGTCTGAAGAGAGAAAGAGAAGAGAGAAAATTATCTGTTGTTTCAAGTTTCAGATCAGCTTTTGAACCTGGCTCTAGTGAACACTCCTCATCTCCCAACCAAGCTCACTGCTTCAATGGTTTTTGCTGCCTCTTGAGGAAATGCACTATTTGCTTCAGCATGTCCCACTCTTCAAGCACCCTTGTTTCTGTGGTATCTGGAAAGAGGCAGCGGTGCCCATGCTAGTGCTTCTGAGCACATCTGCCTGGAGATTAATTCCTTCACACCAAGATTCAGCACAACCACATTCTCTCTCGTGTAGTATCATGTGCCCTGCTAAAGCTCCTTCTGGTACTTGGGTAGTTTTTTATTTTGTTTTGTTGTTTTGGTGTATTTGTATGTTAGCTTTTGGTAGGAGGCCTTATCTCTGCGGTGTCGTGAGTTTGCTACTTACAAACTTCTAGATTATTTGTATAAAATCGGGGCACTTTGAAATAGTTAAAAAATAAAAACAAAAATTGCCTCAGGGACACAACACCAACCCAAAGAGTTTACGCACAACCAAAACATGAGTCATGTAGCTTAGCAGCAAATTCCAGGACTCCCGCACTGGGCGATACCTTCAGTGTGAAAAGGCTACATCTAAACTGGGGAGACTGCAGTGTAAAAGCCCTTTTGTTCATGGTCTTCGAATTCCCAGTTACCTGCCCTTTATCTCCAAAAACTACCTAACAGATGGATAACTTGGCCAGAAAGAGTAAATAGATGTTGGAGTTCAGGCTGTCTTTTCGTCACTTGCGGCGCTGACACTGGTCGTTGCCTTCCTTCCCTCCTCGCCACCTTCCTGCCTTCCTTCTCCCCACGCATCCCACCTGGCCGATTTGGTCTCCTTGCCCGTTTGGCCGATGAATCATCTCTCTCTTTCCACACCCCTTTCCTGTGTTTCCTCTTGCCTCCTTATTTTTGCTCCCCATTAAGGTCTTGTTCCTGTCTGCTGTATAACTGACATTTTAATGTGTGCAGTAGATACAGACTAGAAGCGGAAACTAGTGTGTTTGAAAGAAGACAACGTGGGAGTCAGTCCAGGGTCAGCTCGCGCCATCTGAATCATCTTACTCTGTCCCCAGCTTTATTCCCCCTCCTTCTGTTTCGACCCAAATGTTTGTACAGCTGCCAGCACTTTGGACCCTGATCCTCGCTGGGGTCAAGCCCTTGACTGATTTGTCACTGCGGTACAGAAAATAAGGAAGGCTTAACGCTGGTAGGAGACCCGTGGGAAGTGATGGGAGTCAGGCCCCTGGCGTCCGAGAGCAGGACCTGCGCGGCCGAGCTCCTCGCGCGCTGTGGAAATTTGTACCCCACAGCGTTGGTGGGAGCCCCCCCCAGCCGAGCCTCCTGTCCCTCCCCAGCATGCCGTGCTTAGTAAACCCATTAACCTGCTGGCGTTGCTCTTCATTTACACTGCGTCAGGGAGAAGGAGAAGTGGGTTTGGAGAAGGAGCAGTGGGTTTTCCGAGAGCAGAAGGGCGCATGTAAGAAAATCAGGTCTTTGCTATTCAGC